GGCATGTTAATGGATTTAATGCACGCTATATATAACAGAAGAAGACAAATTAAAACCAAAAAAAAAAATAAAAGGCGTAGACTAACCTCATCATTCTCCTCAAAGTAAATTCCATCAACTGCACTTTTCTGCTGAAACTCCCATCCTAAGCTGTTTTCAAGTAGCTCTTTAAGTTTCCTTGCCTGTAAGAATCCAACATTGGAGTCAGCATCTTCTCTAAATAATTCAAGAAAGAATACCTGCCTGATATTTGTTAAAGTTTCAAGTACAGATGATCAATTAAGGCGGAAAAGGGGAGAAAAGAATGAAGGAATGAAAAGAATCGCATAACAAGTTTGACCAATATCATATGAGCACTGAGATGGCAGTGCTGCTCCCAGCAAGGTAGTATTGTGATGGTCCAGCCATCAATGGTTAATGACTCTTTCATGAAAATAGCAGAGTTTATTAGCGGCTGCCAGCACTAAAGGTAAGAATACAGTCCTTGGACATTTCATTTTTTTTTTTTGAGTCGTTTGACTGTATCTTTGTAGAGACAGGTGTCTAGTTGCAGGTCTGATCATTTTTCCTCAAGAAATTATAAGGAAAAAAAGGGAGCAAAAAGGTCTCTTTTGCAATTTAATGTGCTTTTCTTCTCTGCCAAGATCAAATCTAATGCACCATCAGCCATGTGGTCTTGTGGTAGATAAAAAAGATCAAACCTAATGCAAAGAGCCAATCTTAGTGCACATACCCATGATAAAAGATCTCCATCAACTACAGAAGCATCTTGCAACAGTGAAAAGAAATCCTGCAGTTCCATCAACAAACATTAAGAATATATATCATTCCAGAGGGTCAACATAGTATGGACCACTGTCTCTTGGTTTGGTGTTTGAATAGAACTGGTTACCTCCATTAGGAAAACAAGAAAATTGTAACCAGCTGATCAAATTACCAAAGAATAGCAGAATAGGACCCATGCAAGTCAAACCATTAAAGGAAGCCAATCATGTGGAAAAGAATCTGAATAATATCATGCTCCTACCTTGGAAAGCCGGTGCAAAAAGCTATCAGAAGAAAACCATGAATCATCTAACAAAGCTGAAGCTCCTGTCTCTTCAACAGTCCGATCTTTCTGAAGACCATATTTCAGTTGATAGTATAAAACCTTAATGAACTGTAATAGATTAATAATCCTGTCAAGTGTCAGACCAATATCTAAAAAAGGGAAGAGAGAAAACATAAACTCAATGGATAAATTTCATGAATTATGCAAAAAATCTCAATTACCTTTGTGAACATCTGACTCCTAGTGCGGAAAGGCTGCAATAAATAAGACAGTTAGAGAAAGGCTAATGAAAAATGAGGAGTTGAAAAGCAGTTAGATCTTAGAAATGTGAAAAACATAGGAACTTGTTTCCATGAATGAAATTGATACAGTTCAGATTTTGCAAAAGCAGCAAGGTAACGTTTTATTTTCAAGATGACAGTTTTAAGATTATTAATCTGTATTATTGCCCTCTAGGGTAATATGTCATATGTGTCATGTCACCCATAGGTATTAAGTATTTCTCCCAGTCTGATTTTCTTTCTCCCAATTCTCTGCCTTATTTCCTCTGCTTGTCCCTTCTCCTTCCCCCTCTTCTTGTCACTTTTACCTTTCCCTTTTTCCCCATATTACTCTCCCTATAGGAGAGTCAATTACAATGGGAATATTGACAAGAAAAAAAAAATCAAACAATGAAAATAAGAATTCAGATAAGAGAAATATGACAAATGGATAACTACTTACAGCTTCAGTACAGCCAAATAAAAGGCTAACCAAAGATTTCCACTGGATGAACGCTTCAAGTGATTGTCCCATCTGCATGATTATTAGATTTCATGAAAATCTGATCACACTTTTAAATGACAGTGAAAAAATGTCAAATTATTCCATGCATACCAAAAAGGCTATAAATGCAAATTGCAGCTCTCCCAGAAGGGAGTCTTCAAAGCCTCCATACTCCTTTTCTAGCAAGGTCTCCAATAGTTGTGTCTGATACAGATGTGAAAAAGAAATGCCCAATTATAATTTACCAAATAACTCAAAACCTTTTTAAAGTTAATTATGCTACAAAAACCATGTTTAGCAGTACTTACCTTGTCAAGATTCAAAGATGTAAGTTGTTCACCTTGTATTCCTTTGCGTTTTATGACACGTGGAATCGAGGTGTAATAGCATCCTCTCTTCTGAGGTATCTCAGTGGAGGTTGAGAATTTACTATTTCTCAACTGCTCATCTAAAGTTTTCTCCATAGCTGTTTTAGGAGTGTTTTTTCCCATCGTAGATTCACAGGTAACTGTAATCTCCCCTCCAATTGGTTCTGCGCATATAACAAACAACACACAATTATGCTACATTGACTACAATCAGATCAGAAGCATACTATACATTCAAATCAACCAAAATCCATCTACTAATAAAGGCTACCAAAGCATACCTAGTTGTTCTATTGTATTCTCTGTGATGTAATTAGATAACCTCTTCCAATCTCCATAATGGCTCAGATCATATGGACCAAGACGCTGGTCAAATTCCAAATTTTTAACTGCTTGGCTGTATCTCTCTTCCTAAAAGGAAAAGAAATAAATTCATTAAAAAGAATAAAAAAAGAAATTAACCCCGTAAATAATGATTAAATACTCTAACAAAAAAATTAACAGGAATACAAACCTCTTCTTCGGACACCTTAACTAAGCGTTCCTCTTGCTGATTCCACTTCCGAACAACAACCTGCCAGCAGAATGATGTATTGATACATGACAAATGTTAGCCTTCCTCTCACTCTTTCAGTTATAGTACCAAACAGCTAACTGTTTATTTCAGTTCACATGCTTAACAGATCTCAAAATGATATTATTATTAAAATTAAAATTAAAATTAAAATCACAAATAAAAACTCTAAAACTCATCTACATATGAAAGATTTTGCCAAAAAAGAGTTATACCATCCATGAATGCCTTAACAAAATAAATACAAAAATAAAATAACAGTGCCATTACATATGAAAGATGTTGTAAAAAAGGAGCTATGGAGCAGAAACCTGAGATTGGCTGACATCAATGAAGAACCCAATAATTGGAGAGAACTCCTTGCCATCTCTGCTTGTTCATCATTAAAGAACAAAAAATCAAGCCAAGAAAAAACCGAATTGTGAGACAGATTAAGAATAAAAGTTTAATTAAATTGATAATCAGAGACAAATTTCAACCTGGTCGACGAACTGTAGAACAGGAAATGAACTCCAGGCGGAATCATCTTGATACCCTTAAAGTTAGGCCCGACGGAAAACACCTGCAAAAGCATAATTCTTTCTGAAAGTGAGTAAACAAGCACATTTGAGTTCGAATTCATTTTTTCAGCAGTTTGACGCATTTTTTTTTCTCGGGAACCAAACAGAAGAAGCGTATTTTTACCTGAGTGTCGATGCCGACGACCGTGTACTGAGGAACGTCGAGGGAGAGAAACGTTGCTCCGTGCTTAACCAACTCCATAGCCGTTTCCGGATCCATGCTTCCAGAAGCAAAGAGCAGAAATCCAGAAGCCTCATTTGGCCGGTTCAGGGAGGTTTATAGTCAGTGGGGCATAAGAACCGGACCGAGTCGGTGGACTCGATTATCCAGAAAAATTCGGTTTGAACCGCGCTGATCACAATAGGCCCATTACTTTTTCTGCTCAGTCCACATTGAAATCCAAATTTCGGTCCATAGCTAAAGGCCCATAAAAGCCCAAAAATTGGTAAAACCGCCCCCCGCGCGCGCTTGCTCGCTCGCTCCCTGTTCGGGCCGTCCCTCCCTCCGCCGGTTGCGGTAGCAGAGGGTGGCTGGCTGTGGCCTTTATCTTTCTCCACAAAACCGCCGGCGCTTCTCCTTCCGCCAACCATTTTTAAATGGTTCTCCCTTACCGTGCCGTTCACATTTCCGGCCGATGCAATTGATTGCCTTTTTTAAGTTTGGATTGGCAAAAATGCAGACAATGGCCCGTAGGCTTTGTTCCCGCCTCGTTCCTTTTCCTTCTCACTTCCGAACCTCGGAACCTCCTTTGCTACTACCATCCCTTTCAAGGTGAAGACTCGTTACTCTACATGTGCGAAAAATATGTTCCTTTCAGTTTATTTCTTCTTAGTTATTTAAAAATTCCATTTTTAGTTTTTCAATGTCCAACTTTCTTGGAGAAATCTGAAAATTGAAAATTCCCTTTCCGTTTCCCATTGCAGATTGGAAACTGTCTCTGATTCAGTACCAAGCACCTCAAAATGTCCGGCTGTTGGTGGGGTTTTCCCCAATTTTTATGGTTAGTCCCTAATTTTAATATTCCTTCTAATTAGGACATATAAATGAACATGCCGCACACATAATTTGGTATTTAAGATGTCTTATCATGAGTTTTATTGCTTTTTTAATAATTTCGAGTGTAAATAGACAAGGGTTTTAACAAAAGTTTTACCTTTGGTTATATAACAACGAGAATGATGAGAAGCATAATGTTATGTGTGTGAATTGTATCTTGGTAATTTATGTACAATGTAATCTATTCGTGAATTCTGTATTGATATTTGTTCTAATGTATCCAATTTTCCTCGCTAACGCATTATGACGTTGAATAATTTTAGTGTTAAGACCATATGCTCGTGGCTGTGGAAGGCAAAAACATTATGATCTCTTTGGAAATGCGACACCAGGTGATGATAACTTCAGGAAGGCCTGGCAGAAAGAGATGGATGAAGATGATTGCCCATGGACTGGGAGTGAAGATGATAGTGATTCTGAGAAGGATGAAAATGACCCTAATGATATTGCTCAAATTCGTCTTGAAAAACAGATTCAGAAAGTGAGACAGAAGGCAAAGGAGCATTCTGATCTAATTGATGCCGATGATAGTGATGAGTTAAGAAGTGTATGGTCTGGAAGTGATGAGGAGAAGATTTCTGTGGACTGGTAGTGAAGGTGATGATGATGATGATATTCCTACTGAAGCTTACCCTAATAAAGCTAGTGATAAGTACATTGATAAGTTGTTTGAGGAAAAACCAAAAAAGAACCGGACCATCTCAGAATTATTGAAAGCTGAAAATGAACCAGAAGAATTATCCCCTGGCATGAAAGCAAGGAAACTTGCTGTTGAGAATGCCTTGAAGAAGATAAAGAAAAGGCCAGATGGGTGTTACACAAATGTGTGGGAAGTCATGGGTGTTACACATGTGTGGGAAGTCATGAGTGATATAGACATTTTCATAGGAGCTTTTGAAAATATTGTTTTTGGACCTGAATATTTTAGAGCTTCGACAGTGGGGTCCAAAGAAGTTAAATGTTCAGTTTTTCAAGGATATACAAGCACGTATGAGAGATCCAAACTATAAGTTCACATCTGAGTTAAAATTGAAACAAAAGAGCGAGCTGGTTCCGAGCAAGAAATGGCAGAAGGCACAGTCTAGACGCAGGAAAGCACAAAAGCGTTAAGTTGTACCCTTTTTGGTATTGAAGCTGTTTCCTGTATACCATTATACCTTTGTGATTATGGCACGATATGATGTCTTGCTTCCATGAGAAAATTTTAGGCCAGTGATAATGATAATTCAAGATATCAGTGCTTAAATTTCTTTCTTGACCTTTTCGTCAAATATACTGAACGGTTAGTCTTGTAATTCCTTTATTCTTCCATTTAGTCAATAAAAAAGCACGCCATTAAAATCTACAGTGTACAAATGTAGCAATAAGAAACTTGCATTTAACCTCTTAAACCGTAGAAGCCTTCAATAGGGGAATTCCTCTGATACTAAAGTATACTAGTAGTAGATTACTTAACTACTCAGCCTGGTAAGTGCTTTCCACTTCACTGTTGCTGCATTGAATCTTGCATTTCTCTTTTGCATGACTGCAACAGTGACAGTCCTACAGTCCTACTTAATAGCATCGATTTTGTGAATTGAAAGGAGGAACTAGGCAATATTAGTAATTCATCATGTAAGGATGATGCATGTACACGTTGTCATTAACCATCTTATTGTTATTGCTGTGTTTGTCCGGCTCCTGCATGTAAAGGTTCATATCTCTAGTTGGATGATAACGGTGGTATCCTTCTTGAAGCATGTTGGTGTTCATCATGGATGGTAGATGATTATGTTCATAACTTGGCAACCTGGAGAAAGGAATATTGTGAAACATACCAAACTCCTGTCCACCAAAGCCAACAGAGCCAGCTCCATTACCTTGAAAACCCGCAGGACTCATCAGGGGTATGACTTTGCCTTCCTGCGCAAAAGTGTCTCCATCTTGATTTTTCATGTACAAGTTATCCATATTCCCTTTCGCTTTCAAATTCTGACTAGTCTCGCCAATTGCAGAGTTCATCCCAATATGCTGGTTGAGATAGTTCTCAAGACTCCACACGTCTCCAACTTCACAGCCAAAGGTGGGGGGTACTTGCTCATTCCTAAGATACAGAATTTGGTTATTGTTATTGTCGTCTTTGATGAACTTGGGTTGTTCCTGGCCTAGTCTCTGGTTGGAGCTTGGGGACCAAACCTCTGCATGTTTGCCAGATTTGACCAACTTCTTGACTAAGGTCATAGGATCAACTACTCCTGTGACTATGACCACCTGGTGTTCTGCATCTATCTTCACTGAATAAACACCTGACATGCAAAAAGCAAAATCCAATTTGAAAGAGTTTAAGCAGAGCACAATTTGAAAAAGGGTAGGGAAACAATCAAATCAGCACCTTCAATCTTCTTGAGGAGTTTCTTAACTTTCTGCTGGCAACCTTGACAATCAACATGTACTTTCAGCACATGTGTCTGTAAAAGAAAGATCAAAATCAAAGAGACAATAAAGCTCTAGTCAGTGGCAACATCATAGGGGAGACAACAAAAGAATAAAAAGGTGGTAAGAAAGAGGAGAGAAGGGAGGAACCTCAATTCTTTGGAGCTCATATCCAATGCTTGACATCTTGAACAGTATCAGTTGGTATCTTGGAAGGACCCTTTCTGTCTGTGATGTTCTCTTTTCCAGTTTTAGGAACTCACTTGGGAAGATTGGTAACTTATAATATACAAAGTTCACTAGCAAATGAGAGAGAGCCAGGCAGAGAGGAGAAGATGGTCCTTTTTATTTTTATTTTTTATATTTTTATTTTGTCCAAATAAAGAGGAATATGGTCTGAAAAGTGTGATTTGACACTTGTTGACACTTCGACGGCCAGAGGCAGGAAGTCATGTAGCTGTTCTTCTCAGACTCAGAGAACACAATTTTCTCGTGATGTTGCAGAGTGCAGGCAGCAGGCTGCAGAGTTGGTCAAGGTGAGGTGAATTTCCCATGAGGCCATGACCGTGTCTAACTCCTCGTGCATTTCACTCGGTAGCATTGCTATAGGATCCTAGCATAGGCCCTTATGGGATTCCCTTCGGGATTCGAATTTCACACTTCAACTTATATGAGAATATTTTTACAATAAAATAATTTAGTTTCATCTCACACTTCAACTTAAATAAAAATAGTTTTATAACGAAATAGGTGGTCACTAACCCACTGAGAACTTCTCGCTTCATTATAGCCACATGTAATAACAAAATTTTCACCTAGAAGATTTATTTCCATTAAATTTCAGTTAAATTTTAACTAAATTCGCAAAAAAACTTATTTGTCATCTTATTGATTAGAATTTAACTTTTAATAAGCTTACAATATGTAATTTCTTATAAGGTTTCACATTCCAATGTTTCATTTGCCTAAGTTTCTCAACCACTAAGTAGGATGAAATTACCATAGGTCTACTACTTGCATCAAAAAGATCCTATGCCAACAAAGGAAGGAGCTGCTGTGGAGGCCCCTCCAAGAAAAGATCAGATGCAGCTGCTGATTGAAGTTAGACCCAGGAAGCATTGGTCCATGCACATGCACATGGTAGCCTCTCTAAAGTCTAAAATTCACTCTTGGTCTTGGATCAGTTCAGTATAAAATTTTACAATATCCATTAGATCCCTGGGCTTTGGGAATAAGACAAATTTCTCTTGTTCTCCTCAGGCCTCAGGCTATATATATAAAATTCAGCTCTGGGCCTTCTGTTTTAAATTCTTAAAAGCCCAGCCAAAATCACTCTAGACAATCTAGACTTCTGATCCTCTGATCTGAACAGCCATTGTAATTTTTCTCTGCATCTATTCGGCCTTTCTTGCATTTACCCAAAAAGCAACTACTGGGCAGAGTTAGCCCAATTAGACCCTCAACAATTCAATTCAAGGTGGGACAATCTTCTTAGTTGTCTGTTGGCAGCGCCCATATGGTCTTAGCTTGTTCCACAAGTTTTTTAATATTATCTTCTTCTTTTTTCTTTTTATTTTTTATATAATTTAATAAAAAAATAGTCAAATTACTTCGAACCAAATTTGAGTTAAATGAACTAAGTTGAAGATGACAATAAAGCTAGGATGTATTTGGGATCTGAGTGGCTACATTTTCAAAAAAAATACACTTCTTTAATCATTAGGTTCACCTGTTTTACATATGTTTTTGACTCGTGCAAGGCAAGAAAAGGCTGGCAATTGTTTTTGTTTCCTTCTGTCATGTGAAAGTTGAAGAATGAAGGCTAATTGTTCAGGCAAAATTTCTAAATTTGTCCTTTAAATAAGAGTATGCGAGTAAATTTATTATTGATTAAAATATTATATTATTTAATATGTAATATTATTACACATTAATTTTTTATTAAAAAAATTTAAATAATAAATAAATTTTTTATAAGTGATAATATCACACATTAAATAATAAATGATTTATTTTGATCAATAATTTAAAAAAATAATTTACCTTTACATTTTTTAAAGAGGTAAATTTGTCCCTATCTTTCTATTTGAGGGATAGATTTAGAGATTCTATCAATTGTCTATTATATTTCAAAAATTGTTTTGTGATTTGAACTTGTGGATGGTAAAATATTAATTATTAAATTTAAAAAAATTATTGATATTAGATGAGAAGTCATCTTGTGTATTATATTTCAAAAATTGTTGTGATTTGAACTTGTAGATGGTAAAATATTAATTATTAAATTTAAAAAAATTATTAATATTGGATGAGAAGTCATTTATTCAGTGGCTGATATTTTATTGGGTTAAAACCTCAATTTTGTCCCTCTACTTTAGTAAAAAAAAATTTGTTAGTCCATCTACTTAAAAAAGTCCCTTATTGGTTCTTAAAATTTGAAATCTAACCCTTTTTATTCAAAAAAGATAAAGTAAAAATGGGTTTTTTTCTAAAGTTGAGGGATCAAATTAAGGTTTTTTTAGCTTCTTTTTAGCCCTCTTTTGGCCGCTTTACTTTGAAATTTCCATCACTTAATGTGTCACATATGCAAATTTAACAGAAAGACTAAAATATGATCGGATTTCAAACTTTAGGAGATAAAAAAAAAAAGACTTTTTTAAGTAAAATGATTAAAAATAGATTTTTTACCAAAGTAGAGGGACCAAATGGAGATTTAACTTATTTTATTGTCTAATAACTTATATATACTCACTTTTTAATTTTTTTTCTTCTTTCCTTCTCTAGTGCATAACAAAAGTACCAAAGGAGTAAGTTTAAAAAAAAAGTTACCAAAGGAGTAGCAAGGGATTGGTTCTCCACTTTTGATGATAGTTTAATTTTGTGTAAATTTATTTAACATAGATGTGCTATAGTTTTTTTTTTTTTTAATACATTAAAGTTAGTTACTACCAATTATTACTGCTATAATAACAATAGAAGTAAAATTTATTCTTTATTATTGAAACATAGGGCAGCAAGGATGTTTTACACTGAAAATGCAGTACAAGTAGCATCAACACGATGTATAAGAGCATCCATCTCTTCTTTGAACTCGGTGAAAAAAAAAAAGAAAAAAAAAAGAAGAAAAAGACAACCCAGGTTAAGTAGAAGCAGCATCAACACCATACATGAGAGCATCCATCTCTTCTTTGAACTTGGGCATGGCAGCCCTAGGAAGGGAGACAAATACTCTGACGTCCCCACTTTTCATTGCAGTATCACTCAGTTTGGGAGGTGGCATCAACATGCACAATTCCTTAAACAAAGGCACGTTTGATATTGGTACGGGAAGCAAGTTCACCGGCTTCCATCCGAAATCTATACCTTCCAATAACCCTAAATGTCTCCAATCCGTTAATTCCATGGAAGCACCAGTTTTCATCTTCGCATTCAATTCTGGAAATTTCTCCATATCGCCCAGAAATGTCCTGATGTAGTCATTGCTCAAAGCCAGGTTTTTGTTCTGTTTGATAAATTTCACAACCTTAGTCAGTGATCCTTTCTCTAGATCCCTCGCAGGCAGTACTACATTTGCAGAGATAAAAGCATTTCCATAGTATCCTTCAGGCAATGGCGGCTCCATAAGATTTCTTAACCCGACAGCTACATGCAAGCAGCAGTTGCCATTTGAATCCATTTTTAAAGCTCTAAACCTTGATCTCCAAACATACGCACCAAGGATCTCGAAAGTGGTCATTCTTTCTATTGTATCATGGCCTTGATTAGCTTCCTCCATGAGACTCATCTTAAGCTTTGCAATGCTCTTAGCAGACACGTCAAAGTATTCATGGACAACGTCTGAAGTGGGCAAGTACGGCGAGGTTGCTAAAGAATTCTTATCCACAGGGACATCGAAAGGTTCTTGAGTAGGATTCCCTACCAGCCTCTCCCTCTCCCAAACTGGTTTTACAGAAGGTTCACTCTCTCCGCTTGCAAGCTCAACCAGAGCTCGAAAGAACTGAGCTGCTCCGAATCCATCACAAACCGAGTGTGACAAGCTCATTCCAATGGTAAATCCTCCACATGAGAATTTAGTCACCTGCAAAGCTAGAGGGTGATAACCATGATCAGAATCAGATGGAAAATCGCAGACAAAATGTCTACCATTTTCAGTGTTGATCTTGTCTAGGTAATTCACGGATGAGAGCTGGCAATTAGCAGTTGCCACGACAAAAGGCACCCCATCATCAGCATTGCACTTGAGTCTAAGCTTTCCATCACTGTGCCTCCTTAGTTTCCCTGCTAGGGGAAAATAATAAACCAAGACCTTGGAAAGAGCTTCTGCAAGTATGCTAGCTGGATCTGCTTGACCTTTATGGGCGGCAGAGACATTGTCATTTGCCTTGTACACATAAATTGATTGCCAGAGGTTTTCTAGGATAGTATCATTATCAATGGAGGATAAAGAAAGAACTTCGGAAGGGGTAGGCTTTGAGGGCTTAACAAGCTGAACAATTTTCCTATCAATGGAAAAGGGAGTGTTTGAGAGGGTTGCCATGGCAAAGTTGGTGTAGTTCTAAAAAACTTTATTGAGACTTGAAAATATCAGTCCCGCATCACATCATATATATATATTTTTTTGAATGAAAGGAAAGAACAATTTTTTCTGTAGCTGTTAGCTAGCACGTACCTATCCTAGATCGTAATACCCAGGGGCGAAGCTATTTGAAGACAAGAGATCCGGCAGCCCACCTAAACTTTGGAAATTCTACATAATTAGTCCACACTAAAACACTTTCATATATGACATTTATTTTGTTTCACTAATTAATTTTAACATTTTATGACTAGTCCTGTAATGGCATCAAACATTCAGTCGTGAATGAGGCTTTAAATAGAAATGAAGTCTGGCCTAGTAGATATTGAGATAGAAGTATTGATACTTTAAATTTCAGATTCAATTTTTGTTTTATACAAATTATTGTCCGATTTTATATGTGTTGGTTAATTTGTTAGAATTTATAATTTGATTTAATTTAATTGTATTCTGATGTTATAATATTAGATGTTGATGCCAAATGATTGATATAATGTATACTCTAGGTTGTAATGAAATTTGTACCAAAAAAAAAAAAAGAAGAGAAAAGAAAAATAAAGCTCTATATATTGACCCTTGGCATTGAGTTTGGATGATCAAAGATTCTTCGGTTTGGCACAAGACTAGGTTTATTATGGGATTTAGTTTTATTTAATAGTATTATTAATGTCAATCAAATTAATAATAAAAGAAGGTTGAATTTCAAGATAAATTATGCAAATCAAACCTTCTACTTTATCTCAAGTTGATGATCGTTTCCTTAACATTTTTATTGGCAAATTACCCCTCTAGTTGTGGATACAAGCAAATTAGCTTTTTTTTCCTTTTATCTTTTTTACAAATGATATCAATTGACATCATCAATTTATCAATAATTTATTTGGATACATTAAACCTTTGTTTGCCCTGCTACCATGTTTTTTTTTTTTTTTTAACTGATCTAGACCTTTTTGTTGTTTCGACCTGAGCTTTCTTTTTTCCTTTTTCCTTTCCCCGGGCAAGAAAACTCAACAAGGATTCCATGTTTTCAATTCAAGGGGGGGTGTCAGCACTTCATTATGTAGTGTTGATACTTAGCTAATTTTCACAACAAAACACAAGGCTAATTATCCCGAACAGCTTATACTACCGCCATTTACAAGCATGAAAACACATTTTTCAGCATACAAAAAATGGAAAGCTAATTGTTCCAAATGGCTTGTACTCATAACAATTGTGATATGAATTCTCATTGTTAACTAGTATTTGTCTTTTTCAAAAGCAAATGGATCCCACTTCTTTGACTTTTTTTTTTTCTTATGTGAACAGCACGCCTTTCTTTCACATAACTTGAGTTGAGCCTGTAACTTTTATTGGTTCAGGACACAATGGCTTAGTTCTATACGTTTTTTTTAGCTGCATCCTTATCTTTTCCAACTTCTGATCTGGAATATGAAACCTTTGATTTTTTTTCCGTCTTGTCTCCTTTCCAACTAATTCTTTATCTACATCAGGCTTCAAGTCATAGTCATTATCATTTATCTCCCCACCAGACCATGCTTCATTCCTCTGTGCGAGGGACGGAAAAATGAGGAAAAAAAAAAAAGGAAGAAAGTCTAGGTCGGAAAACGAAAAAGTCCTGCAGTTAGCACTAAAAAAAAAAACCGACGGGGTGGTAATGGGCCATACGAAGGTTATATTGTACCAAACAGACCGATGGATTGATGACGTCTACTGATATCATCCGTGAAATAGGGGGTTAATTTACTTGATTTCATCCGTTAAATGAGAGCTAATTTGCGCCTGTGAAAAAAGTTGAGAAGGTGATCATCAGCCTCAAGTGGAATGAAGGGGCTAATTTGCAAAATTTACCTCAAGAAAATGGGTTGTTTGTACTTTGTTAATATTATATTATCAAATTACATGATTTTCCTAGATTTCAACTAACCGACTTTACCTTAGTTGGTAGAGCGGAGAATTGTAGTTCAGTTAAGCCCACAGCTTATATTTAGGTTTATTGGTTCAAATCCAACAAGTTAGATTATGAATATTGTGTATATGAATTTTAAAATAAGATTTGCATTTAATGTAAAAGTAACTGATAATAAATAAAATAATTTTTTTTATATTTAATCCACATCCTTTGTATTTTCTAACATTTTTTTTTGGGGGGGTAACATTATCAAGAAGGCTGAATTGCATTGGTTACAGAATTTGAGGGCCTAGACGCACGTTTCAAAGTTAGGCTATGCATTAATGTGGAATAATTTCAAGAGCTTAACAGTAAGTTTTCTCCTTTTTGTGAAGCGTTAGCTAGCACATATCCTAGATCTATTTGAAGACAAATTAAGGACCACCCCCTGAGGTTTGGAAATTATACTTATTATAATCCTTAACTTTTTAAAATGGGATAATTTTACCAATAACATTTTCGTTTCAGCAATTATATATATATATATATATATATATCTTAACAATTTAAGATAACATTTACCATTGGTTTTTCCCCATTGGCGCCAATGCATGGATCACACCATATATTATTTAACAAATCAGAAGAAAATAAGGGTGTATTTGTTGCAGCTTCTCAACTGATTTAGTTTCTTGATACTATTTATGTCTCATAAATTTAAAATTTTCTTCTAAAAACTTATATTTTTAAATTTTTTTTACCTTTAAAAAGATATTAAACACTAAAAGATCAAAAGTTTCAAATTTAAACTTTTCATAAATTTCTTTTTTACTCATTTTTTTTATTTCTAAAAATAACTTTTAAAATTTTCCTCCAATAAAAATTTAAACTTATCACTCACAAATAATACTCTAAAAATAAAAACTCCAACAACCTCCACCAAACAAACCATAAGAACCCTATTTTTTTTAGCAGATAGCTTTCTTTCCTTTTTTTGGTGATGTTAGGTGGGTAGCAGTTAGCTCTCGTCTTTTTCATTAATCAGTCAACTTATTTCACTTCAAACCCACGAAACTAATTGCTTTGAAACCTCTACAGAGAATATGCTTTAATGATAAGTGCTAGGAATACTGCTATGGCATATCCTAAGGTGATATTCCAGGTTTCAACAACCCAATATCATTAAGAATCGCAGCATAAGGGCCCCCTTTTTCGATAAAGGAGCATTAAATTATCTTATTATGGTGGCTTCTTCTGGGGTGGAACTTTACTGGTGTTGGTGGTTGAGGTGTGAAGGAGAGACTTGGGAGGAAAAGATGCGTGCATGGTATAAGGGGTTGGTGGAGC